GTTGTAGATGACATATGGAAGGAGTTCGAAATTGACGAAGGTGAAATGCCGAAAACGGAAGGTCTAGAGGGGTTTCAGGATATTTTGTTGCGCTTGCCGCGAGAGAAGAACAGAATCTAACAAAGAAACCAAGGATAAGGAGGGTCTAGACGTGCACGGAATGGGGACATAGGCCTTCGAGAACGTAACGTAGACGAAGATTTAGGAAGGAAGACGATGAAGACAATAAGCTCAAATGTGAACGCGGCTCCGAGTGCGAAGACCGTGTTTATGAAGTTGCGGAATGTTCGTTGAACAAGGAGAGGGAAGTGCACATAAATGAGCTGGGAAAATTAGAAGGAACATACAGGGAGATGTTTGAGGCATGGAATAGCCAGGAGAAGACGGTGTAGCTGTACTGGGGCATCGGAAGTGGGCTGAAAATGCGGCAAGTGGTATTGACAGGATATATAGACCAGGGAAGATTTTTTCTAACCGCCTTTGACAAAGTAGGAAGGAACGGTTGGCCATCGGTGATCGGTCGTGTGAGAATTTCTCCGTCCTCTCGAAGACAGGTCTAATCGCTGAGGCATGCAGAACATAAGAGTGCGCCCCCCCACCTTCCCTCGACGGTGACCCCCTCGACCCCTCACCGGTGCTTGTTTCCGATGGCAGCACGCTGTACATAACTGGCAGCTCGCACGTGGCAGCCAAGGCAATGGTGTGCACGACCATCTGTGCCACATCGGCCGGTCTGGGCGTCACCTCTGCAAGCTTGGTCTTGTTTCAACACGTGGAACCACAGGACGTTATCAACGGCGTGAGTGGGAGTCGTCAAGAATACCGTGAGGGCAATCAAGCGTGTTACTGTACCCTGCGTCTCATGCCTGGCTACCTTTGGTGGATTTTTTTTCTGCTTGTGGCTGGTAAGCCCTCGGCATCAGTCAACTTGGTCGGGAGCGAGAACAGTCCCTTCCGCTACGCCAAAAAATTTCGTGCGTATTCATTTTCTGTAGATCTGTATTCTGAGAGACAGCTTCTGTTTCTTGTGCTCGTTTTCTCGCTCATGACGAAGTTTTTTTTCTCGAGATTGGCCATCGACAAATCTGGGTAAGTCTGCCCGGAGAAAGGTGCTTCTACAGGCTGGACCAACAGTTCCCGGAAGTCTGCTCGAACTGCAAAACGAAATATATATGCCGAGCGCTTTTTGCGGGTCCTGGAACAGGCCGGCACCACACGTTACAGAGTCTAACCCTCCGCCGCCCCCGCCACGTTGCTTCTTCCTCTACGGACCCTCCAATGCTTGTTCTCCCCTTTGGCGGAAAATATCGGATTCTACTTGGCGTTGTCCTTCTCAGATACTCTCAGGGCTCGTTGCCATATCAGGTGCGGAGAGTTTCTGTTTTCTCAGCTTTTAGTCTTAACAAGTCAAATCTTGCTCTACGGTCGGCAACAACCAATTCAGTGCCCAGAGAAGATCGAGAGTCCGTGGGATTCGTTTCCTATTGGCTCCAAGTATAGACTGTCAAGATGTTATTCTTGGGGGAGGCACAAGCAACATTCGCAAAGCTGCACGGTAAGGCATATGTAGGCAAGATAGATGAGGCCCTTGGGAACCCGCACCTGGACGCCAGGATCGAACGAACTACGCCCAATCGCACCGAAGCTAGAATATACAGGAGAGGTATGACGTGGAGCACGTAAGTCTGGGAAACAGCCAGAAACAGTACAAGGTACTCTAGATGTGCAGTGAGAACGAGCAGCACGGCGTACCAACTGAAACTATCATGGGTGTGAGGAAATTGAAACCGACAATACAATGGAGGCGAAATACACGGAGGACATTAACAGGCCATGGCAATCAGAGAGGTATGCTAACGTGTGCTGGTACCACACAATAATTGATAAAGAGACGCGGGTACAGTCGGAATGACATGGTAATACTAGATATTAAGAAACCCGGGAGAAAATTGGAGAGGTGTTTGCGGCAACAATTTTTCGGGGGATGCAAAGGAAGACACACAGTGAGGAACACCTGAAGATGTACGGGAAGTTGCAGCATAACATATATCAGCGTTTGTCGCTATGGTCCGATGTACAACGTAAAAGTCATTTTCGAGTAGGGGACCTCGACGTGGTCGCAGGAGAGGGAGAAATAGTGCGAAGGAGGACGAGGATACGAACACCTGCCTATGCGGCAAGGCCACAAGAGAGTCGACTTCACACATCATCGTAGCACGTTAACTGTAACAAGAAAGGGAGGAGCCCTCGAACGAGAGGTACAAGAAAAATATGGGCGTGGCAGGACTGTGCGATTGGAATTTATCACATCGTAAGAGAGATCACAACAGCTTTGCCGCACGGCAAGCAACACGTGAGCAGGATCCCCCGCACCCACCACCAGTCGATGCAAGATCGCTGCCCGCCACGACGACACCACACGCGCGCGAGCGAGCCCTCAGCGACTGGTGTCGACTGAAAAACCGTGAATCCACCGTAGTATCCCCCTTTCACGCACATGCATGCCCAAACAGCGTGCTGTGCCGTCGTGGAGGTGGAAGGGGCGTTCTTCATTGGCCTTGTCTCAGCCGTGAACTACCTTGGGTGCTCTCGATTCATGGACATAGTGCGAATCGACGACATGGTGAGCAGAGTGCGATGACTGGAGGCATGTTTGGCGGGAAAGGGATACGCATGGAGTGCTGACTGTGTCCCTGTGCTTTTTGTCGATTGAATAAGTCGTCGGAAGTGCTCGCAAAATCAGGCGGTCACAGCGAACCCAGCTTTTCCCACGAACAAGATTTTCATCGTTTTCGAGTCGTTTTGGTCGGGTACAGGTGAATGTGCCCTTCATTTTCCCGCTCGTTTTTCAACGACTCCTTTAGGTGGACGCGGCATCAGTGCACCTGGCTAACGGCGTGTGGGGGATGATCGCCGCTGGCCTTTTCGCGTCACAGGAGGGATACAGCGCATCCTACTATGCTGATCGAAGCGAACAGTGAGAGCATACAGTAGTGGCGATCTCATGTCAGTTGATCCTAGACACCCACAATCGACGGACGTTGAAGAGATGACGGTGTGCTGAACAGGTTCAAAGCGAAGCACAACGCGTGCTGGATGTTTGCAACCTGGAGAGGGTTAGAAACGTGTGGTTGTGCAAGACATTTTGTGTCTGGTGTTCTGTCGATTGCAGGTGCTGCGGGTGGCTGTACGGCTGCGGAACGGCCCAGATCCTGGCCAACCTCTCCTTCGTTCTATCCATATTGTGCTGGGTAGGCCTGATGACGTTCATGGCTGGGTTTGGTCTGAAATACGTGGGACTACTGCGTATCAGGTGAGTATCTTCAAACGAAATAGGGTTTACGGGGTTTCTCGACTGTCCCACCGAGTACAGTAGCGGCTACGGTTTAACATAGTGTCGTGGCAAGCCAAAATCCCTCCGTAAAATCGGCACTTCTGTTAAACCGTTTTGGCTACGGTTTAACATAATATTATGTTATACCGTAGCCAAAACGAAAGGCCGTGAAACATGGACCCAGTCGTCCCAACAACAGCAGTAAATTTATGTGCCGTAAGAGTTGATCGAGAGCGTATCATTCATGTCATATAACGCAGGTAGCGCCCGCCCCTTGGGCTAGCTCCACACACCGCTTTATCTGTTGGTTGGCGAGCAATATGGACCAGTTGTACGCTCTTGGTAGAAAGTGTCGGGAACTAAAACGCGCTCTTAGTAGGAAGTGTTGGGAAACAAATCACGCGTCAGACCTCTGTAGTGTTGATGCCTTGTCATAGACTAGATGTGCTGCTACTCGCAGCTCTTGTGGAACTACAACACGAGCCCATGGATGCTCCAGCACCCAAAAAAATTCCACCCATTCACCCACGAACCACTCCTATTCGTAGCGCGGCCTCCAGAAGCTCGATTTAACAGAAAATATCAGAAACAACACAATTTTTCGGTCAAAAGATTTTGGCCGTGCCAAGCCAGTTCACCTGTGTCAAACCCGGGCTTTTTGTTAAACATCATATGTTAAACCGTAGCCGCTACTGTAGATGAAAGCGTCTGCCTCCTGGTGGGCAGGGATGTCGTGACTGCGGGGCGTGTGTTCAAGTCTTGACCTCATGCAGCATTTGCTGCAAAAAGAGAACGCTTCAGTCTCCGTGAAACATCGTTGGAATCGCTGCCACGTGATTGTGTCTGCACGCGCCCTGCGCTAGGACTGTTTGGTACCACTCGGTGCTTGTCGTTCGAAGGCGGCTCACCCAGCGTTTCGAAAGAGACGGCATCAGGCACAACGGTCGACTGCTCAACTTTCGTGCACGTGGTATCGTGAAGGGTTCGGGCCGCACGTTCACATTGAGTGTGCAACATGAAGTAACGCAATGCCACGCTGCAACGGCACTAGTAGATGTAGCTTTCGCATGACGCTGCGAACAGAGGCCTGTACAAACCGTGCACTCGCTCCCTTCCGACCTCCGTACACGAGCAACACACGCTTTTTTTCTTTCCGGAAACCATTCTGCATGTCAGTGAGATATCGGAACGGTTTGGAGCGGATGCACAGCACGGTTACAGACGTGTAGAACTACCGGACATCGCCAGGAAGGTGTTGTCTCAAGTAGAAGGCCTCGTGGCAAAGGCTGCCGACGAACGTGATCCACCATCAAGAAATTCCGGCAGGACGTCTGAACGGAAAAGCCCAGAGACTTGACGAGGGAAGGTACACGACTGCGAAGAAGGTGAGTGACTACATGTCATTGAACCGCAATCTACAACCACGAAGGCACGAGAATTGCGGACGCATTGACGTCTGGTAAGACTGACGCCTGACTTGACGGGTGGCCTGTCGGACGACCAAGTAAGCGTCGTACCAGTCCGACGAGGAAACGTGATCGCGTAGTCTTGGATATTTTTTCGCTACCGAGGTGATCCGGCACGATTCAATTCGGGCAACCAAAAAACATAGTGTGCATTCGTTGAAGAAGATGAGACGAGCGTGCAATTTCAGAGCCACAGGGTACGTGTGTGTGCAGCTCTGACGGGGAAGTAGAATACTGAGGAGGTTTCATTGTCCAAGCCTTGGCCATGCTCAGGGGGCCTTCCCATGCCGCGATCTGGGTGTTAATGTCTTTGCTGGGCGTTGTTGCCTCTCAAGGCCCTCTTGATTGGTTGATACCGGGTGGAACCAAGCCCCCCTTCCTTGCTGATTGTCTCTCGAACTGCCCTCTTGCACCGCCATATATCGCAGGAGTTTACCACGCCTCAACATTCCTGAGCGAGTGACATCATTCCTGGACCAAAACCATTGTTGCGCATTGTGGGTTCGGCGAAAGAAGGAAAGCCAACAGCGGGAAGAGGGGCAAGTGAAGGGAAGGGAACGAAAGGGTAGGGTGGGAAGGGGAAGAAGAACCATGTTATATTCACAACGAAACATCCAAGAGCTTCTTGTGTCTAGACCGGCTCTACGATTTGTCGTTTTTTGTGTGTTGTCCGGACTTGGGTTGAAGCTCTGACTCCAGAGGCGTACTGTTTTTTGTATGTCGCGTGGTAGCCGTGAGGGAAGCGCATGTCTTTGGTCATAGATGTGCAATATAAATCCTTTCAAGATAGCTTTGTCGTTGAACATATTTCCTGGAAATCATTGTTTCTCTTCACCACCATTTTCGTCGAGAATCCCACAAGTTTTCACGTTGATCTCGTGGTTTGGGCGAGGTTTTGAGCTAAAGACTACGTTTTCGTAACCATGGGGCTGGCGTTGCGCGTGGGGCCATGAGATGTCTATCGATCACCCTAATCGCAAGCAAACATCTGCAGCTCACGAAAGCGTCTTGGTGTGTGTGTGGTCGGAGGTCCTTCATGATAATAGTGGTGGTACGGCGGTCGAACAGCGTGCAGCAGCTAAAAATTGACTAGCAGACAGTCGGTGGATGGAGAGTCTACAGAGCGGTTGGCGATCCTAAAATCCTTTGTTTGATAAGAAGCAAGCACTTGTAGATCTAGAGCCGTCAAGAGGAGTTGCAGAATGTTGTTCCTGATGTTTGGAATAGCATTGCTTTCCTGGTCTGTATTCTCATGGGTGTTAGTTTACGTACAGCAGTAGCGATAACGCAGCTGTGTCCTACACACCAAAACCGAGCCCCGAGTGGCTCCGGGGCACTCGATGCGCAGGAGGTACTTCGCGGTATCGTGACCGGTGAAGAGGCATCGCGTACCACATACTCGAGCACTTCAAAATATGACAAAAAATGAGGAGTCAGAAGAGACTGACTCTAATCCTAATGTTGATTATTGTGTACTCAGTATCGCACGTACCGGTGATCCGTGCGATGATTCGAGGTTTCTGCTGTTGCTCTAGTCTAGATATTACAGCACTAAATTACGGAACGTTTCAGTTTTTTCTATTCCTGTGCATGCGCGGGGGCGCACAGAGGGATGGAAGCAGCGATCTGTGCAGGCAGGCGTGTTTGTTTGTGTATCTCTCTTCTTCCCGAACAGTCTTGCACTCTGGATACGTGCGAAGACATGTTACACACGCGATCTATCAGTCCAAGGCATGCGGGTTGTCACAGCTGTTGTTCTCCAGTTTGGTAATATTTGTAACAACCCAATTCGCGTAGTTTTGCACGCAGCACAGAAAAAAAACTTATTGTCCTCGTCTGTTCCCTCTACATCAGACTGAATCTTAGGTATTGTCCATTTGAAGGCCAATCTAGACTATACTTGCCGCTTTCTTCTTGCCCTAACCGCCGTCGTAAGGATGCAACAAAATATCACACAACTTTTTGTGCGAATCTTCATCGCTTCATTGCTCTCTACACGAGGAAAAAGAAAACGTCGAAGAGGACCAGCACGGTTGCCCGAAGAACGCTGCGATACCAATGTTCCTATAGCACCACGTAACGTTTCAGACGGCCAAGCCCCCATATCGGGCCCGATCATTTACCTTCACGCACTTCGAGGGTCGCCCAAATGATATTGTCGCTGCAATACTATGTAGGGCAACCCGTCTCATCATGCAGCTACCTCACAGCGTACTCTCTTCCGGGAGCAACTCCTTACAACAACGTGTTACAGTTTTTGAGGCACCCGTCGCGAATCCTCCACAACACTGCTGTATGTAAACGGCTGGAGAAAATCTCAATTCCACCTCCCTCGCATTTCTCGTACCGGAACCTTCCCCCCAGCAAGGTAGTTTGGGTCACGCCCCGGCTCCTTTTTATCTCTCCCTCTCCGGGTGCTTAGACTAAATTTGTCTTCTCGACAGCTAGTATAGACGGTACGAGGATAGCGCGCGCATGCGGGCAACATCACATGCGATATGAAAGACATACCGAGACCGGAAACCTGACACACACATGCGTTGAGGCGGTTCGCAACTGATGTCCCGATGAGCTTGATGCCCAGACCGAGGAACATGGGGTCCAAACGGTTCCTGGCCCCGGCGCCGGGCCTCCACGGACAGAACGAGATTCGTAAACGAAACTTGTCGGCCTCCGAAGTTGGTCAACTCTGTGTCGGTTCATCTACAGTAAGTAGTTCTGTTCAACGCGGTCTAGCGTGCCCATTGACCTTTGCGAGATCTTCTCCGAGAACGATACCTCCCATCACGGATACAAATACCCCGACACCCCCGTGGTCCTACACATTGTATCGTCCTGCGGACCCTAAATCACAACAACAGGTAACGCCTCTGACAATTTGAGTAGGAGGATCCAATATGTTCCTCATTCAAGGCAGCCAATGTCTTCCAAATGCGTACCACCTCCAATAGTAGCCTACCTTGCTGAAGTGCAGCAACTAACACGGTACAAGGTAGACTATGTCGATAGCGCATAAACGGGTTGTGTTGTAAGCAAACCGATACAATATTTCAACGCAAAACTGGGTGCCACTGCGGACCCACCGCCGCGCCTACCCTTTCGTTCAGCGCTACAACTGTTCTGGTCGAGGCTCATCGTCTTGGCACATGAAACCGCCTGCGTTGATGCCGGAGATGGCAGGATGCTGCCCATACGACATCATCAACACGTTTCCCTGGTAAGAACATAGGTTCATCTGACGTCTGAAACTACCAAGACCTTTCTTCCCTGAGAAGAACCTATGTAGGGGCATCGAATGAGACCCTTCGTGGCGCTGCTTGGTCGGAATGGTAGCTGCCGAACGCTTTCACATGCAAGAGAACAACGGAAGAAACAAATGCGCGAACCTTTCCACAGCGGTCACCGATGCCCACCTCGATAAATCACAAGACAGGTACGTCCCTCCTTTGGCCGTTGGCGTCGTCGTCCGAGACTGGGAACTCGACGCTCCTTCCGCTTCAGGAGCCATGTCCCGCGTCGGATGTACCTTCATATTTCCGTGCTCGGTGCTTGTTACGCTTTGCGACCGGTGCATAGTACGGGACGGTCTCGCCCTTACTACTGTCGACCGTTTCGTCAATCTCGTCCTCACGGCTGTCTGTTTCTGCAGCCTTGTCCTCACTGTCGTCCCTTTCGGTAACGTCGGGCCATTCACCCCTGTCTAAACCATCGTGTTTTCCTTCGTCGTCACCGGCTAAGACAGGTTTCTCCGGAGGGTTGTCCTCGGCGTCGTCAATGACCACTGACAGCTTCCGCGTGCGGCGCTGGGAGACTGGTATCAATGCGGGCATGGACGGGACCAGCGCCCGTCGGTGTGGCGCTCCTTCCTGTCTAGCACCCGTGGCGCGAGAAGACACGACCTTTCTAGCACCCTTGGCAAGAGAAGACACGACCATGTAGTCGAAGATCGCCTTATTAAGGAAGCACTTGGCGAGTGTAGATACTGCGGGCGCGCGCACAAGTATCGCGGGCATCACAGAGAAAGACGACAGGCGATAAGACTGGTACTACAGCTCAGGAGAAGCCTCGTCAAGGCCCTGGAATCCCTCACAATTGTCCTCGATTGAGCGCACGACAACAATGACATCTTCGGATAGACTTTTGATTGAGGGCACCAATGGTGCTCTCGTGTGCATCGCACGAAGGAGCTTCACGTAGGGGAACATGCTGAAAGGGTCAACTCAAATATGGTGTTGCGCAAGCACACACAGCGTGCACATGTGCCATTCGGAGAAACAGGGTGATTCGAGCATTTTTTTTTTATTTCTTTCTCCGCTTGTTCTCACCCGTGGAGGGATGGAGCCAGCCGTCTACTGTGGTGCCAACCCACGCTTGAGACACTCAAGACTTTACAACAGGCCAAAATGTCCGAGTAGGTAAGCCACGGAAACGGTGCACTTTCCGGGATGCAAAGTGCGCCGCCTGATAGGGAAAGGGTCGTTGGATCGTGTCATCAAACCAACACCCGACGAGAGACAAACAAGAAGATTCAGACTAGTCTACAGCATGGCCGATTGGGGCGGTCGGCCGAACTCGCGGTCACCTACCTGATACCCCAACGATCGCAAGGTTTGCCGGATCACTCTTCCTGAGGGATTGCGACGTCAGTTGATGGAAGATGAGCGGTACACGGGACAAGTTGGTTGCTACGTGTTTGAAGGAAAGAAAATGTAACCGAGGCCGTGTACCGCTTGACGGTCTAAGGACCGTTTTAAACGGACCGACTTTTTTGTCAAAATTTTCGACAGTTGTCTTTCAAAAACTTGGAACCTGTGTGCAGTCATTTTAAACGTGTGACGTAGACTTGTGCAACTTGTGTCAAAAAAAATGACGCCGTCCGTGAGTTGTAGCGCTCACTTCGAGACAACACAGACGACACAACACAAACCGCGGAAAACACGACATCATGGACACCGACATGGATATCACGACCACCCAGCGTGGCCGGCAGACCAAAACCCCGGCGAAATTCCAGCAGACGGGCTCTCTCGGTGCCGCCGTAGGCGGTGGAGGCTTGCTCTCCAGCAAGATAGTGCTGCTGCCTGGCATCTCGGGGAACACTCATGTTACCACGGGAGGCGCTGCCGCCACCAACACTCCGCCGGCGAGGGGTGGCAACCACTGCTCCTACCCCCCCGGGAAAAGGAAAAAACAAAGCGGCGGACGCGAAGCAACAACTGCAAGCCATCATGGCGGACCGCCTTTTTTTTTTTTGTATTGCGCGTGCCCGTGGGCGAGGAGAGCCGCTCGAATCTGTAGGCGCGCCGCGCTTTCTACGGTCGGCCATGACCCACACACAACCCTAGCTGACTTTCTACGGTGAGGGGCACTCGTGGTGCAGACGCAGCAGCCCTCGCGTGCCTCTGCAAGGGTACTTTGGAAAGTGCTCCAAATACTTTGAGAGGGTTGTCAAAAAGTTGGAACGAAGTGGAGCAAAGTTTTCGCGCCCAACTTCGTTCCAAATATTTTGAAAAAATATGGACAAACGCCTACATACAGGTTCCATTTTTTTGACACTTTCAAACATTTTGACAAAAAGTCGGTCAGTTTAAAACGGCCCTAAGGCATGGGTGAATATTTCCCACTGGAAGGAAGATGACAGTCTACCTGAGTCATCTACATTAAACACGTTGGATCTCAGATACCTTGAAGGTTGTACTGCGCCTTGTCAGCGCGTCCCCCATCGCACGTATCCTTGCATCCGGGCTTTTCACCATGTCCATGGATAAACGCATATAACATCCAAAGTCGTCTACAGCATCTATGGTACGAAGCGTTTGAACTAGCCGTACCTTGTCAGGCTCGAAAGGATCAAGACTTCGCCGCAGGCCATTACATCTGTTGACGAAAGCAACGGGGCGTGGATGGGTTTCGAGCGCAGAAGTCACCATTTGGCGAAAACAGGCCGGGCATACTAAATTGACCAGGCAAACTCTTCCCATTCTCGGAAACGATTTCGTTTCGCGTGCAACCTCCCCTGGATCGAAAACTGGTGTCATAGCCCAGATCCGTGGGCGGTCGGAGAAACCTCACAGCCGTTGGCTACGGGCTGTAGCACTACCGTGGTGGTTGTGGGCCCCTTCTAGCAGAGCTAGTCAAACGGTTGTGGGTATCTACTTGGTGTCGAAACTTCGAATCGGGAGATTCAAAGGTTGGAAACGGTTCAAGTGCTGCCGTTGACAGCGGTCAAAACGGCCCGTGCCGAACCTCATACTCGTATTTGTCAAGGCGATCGTCACTAAACGGGCACGAAACCACATGGGATACACGTACATTGTGCTTGCAGGGCACCACGAGGTGAGCGTTGCGTATCAGTAGATGTCGTTAGTCACTTCGCATCTGAGGCATGGATATTGACCATCCTCATTTCATCCCGTAGTTTACTGCAATTCTTTGTATGTGATCACGGCTTGCCAGTTTGGAGGGAAAACACCAGTGCTACATCCACGACAGAGATTTTTCTCAACTGATTGTGGAGCGCTACCCTCTTGGTTTGTTTGGCGCCCCGTGCATTCTTCATTCGACTCGCAGCCATGCTCGCAGTTGTGTGCTGGGCTTCAGACAGAACGTTCGTTGTTTCAAGCCGTACAATAGTCCCGCAGGCAGCATGACGAGAGGGCCACAGCAATAAATTGTGTGTGCTGTCATATCGCTACTATTCTGACGTCGCTCAGACGTCATCAGTCCCGATTCAACACCTCAGACTGCTCTTTCTAGTCCATGGCTTTGAGGAAGATCGCCCAAAGAGCTGGAGCTGCACACACATCCGTCATTGCACTATTGCTGTCACTTGATAGGGCTAATGATGAGTATGTTCCACCGCCCATTGCCAAAGTACCCACAATCAGTTGTTGATATGTCGTTTGATCGGTATTAAAACCATGCCATCAACATCGTCTTCACAATCGGTTTCCCCTTCGAGAGAGCTCCATCATGCCCTCCGTTGTCGTCAGACCATGGAGGCGAAAACATACAAGCACCCTTTCACCCTTCAACATACGCGGGTGAGCGCGTAGCCCGGACACGTGTACGAAAACAGGTAGCCCTAGTGGCTCCAATCCTCGTTCGGGTTCGTTCTTGACGAAGCGCTTAAGCCGTTCTCTACAGGTATACACGAGTGCTCGACAGGACTGGCTTTTACCCGCCCCTGCAAGCCGCACTTTTGATGTGGGGTACATTGTGATGATTGCTATGAGGCAACGACGTGATGTTCTGCATCCGACCCAAGCGACATCCGGGCGCAACTCACATAAGCATATACCCATCGACCGGGACACCTTGAACACTTCTTCCGCGATGCGAGCACTCGATCCTCCCAAGGTCCGAAGTCTGGCACACAACTGGGCGGCAAGGATTAGAGGAACGGGGCAACTACTTGCTCGTTTTTCACAGGGTGCCGATGCCGCATATGGTCGGTCGTATTGTGCCCTAAGAACTGCTAGCGCACAATATTTATTGTGGGAAATGACGGACGTGCCAACCTCGGAGGGCAAAAGAGCTGCTAAGGGCATATGGCACGGCTGTCTCCGTTGAAAGAAAGGAAGCTCCGCGGAAAATAACGACGTGGTCCCATGGCTGACCTTCGCGGCGCCCGACCCACAAGCGTTCAGGCATACCCCGACGGCACCTAGCTGTAAGACCCTTGCGTGCTCAGCGCGTTCAAATGTGCCTAGCAGGAAGAGGACTACTGTGTAGAACGTAGCCATTAGAGTTATGAGTGCCTTTGTCCTTTTCAACTTCTTCTTCCACTGTGAAGGGGAGAATTGTGAACAAATGCCAGCGGGGAGCAGAACGTTGAGAGACGGCGATAAGAGGAGGGAGAGACGGATAAAAGGAGCAAGGGGAGGTAGACAGATAGACCCACGGAGAGACACAAGGGGTGGTGATGGTGGTGGATAGGTGGAGTTGTCGGGTTGGAGGGCAAAGCCGCAAACCGGTTTACTCAACTCTGACCGCGGACGACAGGCCCGAGGTAGGTTGGTGTTGAACCGTTCCACTTTGATCACCTCGACATTAAGTGACCCCCTTTGCCGATGGTGTGTGTGCCACCTGATTGAATGAGGGGCGCGACCTACGTCTGTCTTTAAAACAGCGCACCAGGGCAGACCTGGTCAGCGTGACATGCCTTCAAACGAGACATGCAGGACTTTGACAAGTCTACCCACACCGATATCACGATCGCAGTGGGGAGAACCATGAACCCCCCACCCAGCGAGAAGAAAACCCTTGCTTCCCAGTAGGTGAACGTGGAATCCGATACCATCCCAAAGGCCGTCATTGTCTTCCACAAGTAGCTGCTGATATCGATCACCCCCGATGCCACGACCGCGCGAATAGTAGTGGTGCCCATGTCTGCATAGGTTTGAAGCAAATTCCACGCTCAATTAGTTACGCGGTGTCAAGTCAAGAGTCACACGTTTTGGGGGTCTCGCATGTTGTCTGCGTAGTTCACCTTCCAGCGGAGGGCTCATTTAGACTTAAGAAAATAAGGGGGTAGACTTAGGCTAACCCCTAGCAATATGCGATATTGCGGCTGTAGATCCAGATGGTGTCTATCATCAAATAAATGCTAGAAAGCTCGGGGGCTTTCGGTGGAACTTTATGATACCTGCACATAGTATGGTTGGAAGGAAGGGTGAGTGGACCGGTCGATGGAACCTGAGTCAAGGTCTAAACAGCATGCGCTATCCTGCCTGCGTGGGTCGGGCAAAACCGTCCGTAAGATAAATGGATGAGAAAGAACAGGTTCAAGGAATGCCCGCAGGTGGTTTCCTTCAACGGCGAAAAGCCGGCGAAATATGCGCCAGCTCAAGTGGAGGCATCAAACATGGTTGCAATAGCAAGTAGTTCACACATTGGGGAAACTCACTCGTGTGTTCGTGTGTTCGCTTTGCTGTTTTGAATTTCTTTACCTTCCTCCTTTTGCCAACGCAACATTGTTACGAGTTGCGCGAGTCCCGATCCGCATCTCGACGGCGTTTTGGAGACCTTTCTCGCCGCGGAGGCCAATAGCGTGACAGATACTAAGCTCACAAGCACCAGAACGGCCCCCAAGGCCCACGAATTCCGTCGCAGTTCGTCGCAGTGGAGCCCTGTGTGGGCAAATATGGGATTGCACATGCATCTGCCAGCAGAAACCGAGCAGTATGCAGCACACAGCCAGCGCACACCATGATATTGTTGTTTAGAACGCTGGGACTACAGTGAGGATCCACAACCGCGCCTCGCAATGTACGGCATCCCCTCCATATATCAGTGTTTTATCAGCCTGCGTTCGTTTGCAACACCACAAGGAGTCGCAAAAAAAACTCTCTTGTGATATACCGTACTGGAAACAATTCAGATCATAGAATCACGACCCGGATGGTTGTTCCGCGATGATGGACCTATGTGGATCGTTGACCTTTTCGCAGGCAGACTACCGTCACCGTAGGGGCAAAGAGCAAACCTCACCACGGAAAACAGGAGACAAGGGAGGGCTTCTGTGGAAGGCGGCTCATGCGACCCGTCGTGTCTACTCCGCATTCGCCAGCGTTTCGTTCTGGAAATGGTCTCTCGATTTCGATTCGTGCAATACCTTTCTCTCCGTTCCCTCCCGTATCGTTCGCACCACCCATCACACCTATCGAACTACACCTCCCCGATTGCCACGGACCGCCTTGCGGGAGTCGAGACCTCAAGTGCCGACTCCCCGCACGGTCCCGATTTACCCCCGCAACGCGCTTTACGCAACATGTGACTCCACCATCGTGGTGAATTGGACATTCCATGATTTTGCAACCTGAGCCTGAGAGGTGCCCCACCTCAACAAAGAAAGGTAGCGTTGAGCAGCAGCAACTGGCTTTGATCAGCATTTCTTAAGGCTGCGGTCGATTTGGCAGGCGCCCTCTTAAAAGAAATAGGAAACGACAGTACATAAAAGTCGAACTCCGATACGAATCAATCGTATCGCGCCAAAACAGTCCGCGGACGTCGCGATGTATGTGTGGTCTACAATGCTAGATGTTGCGGTCTGCTTTTGTCAAAACAATCAATATTTATCGAGTTCGGTGAGCTACAAGCAAGCCTGCTGATGCGCGATCCTATATTTGAACGCTTCAAGCATCTTTGCTATTGGTGAGACCTACTAGTTATGTGTGACCCCAGAGAACAAGCGGACGAGTAGGGTGTGCGAGGGAAGAGCCGTCCTGAAGCCGGTCGTCACACGATATCACGTACGCGTTGATTCACGGGCACTGGGTGCTCGACGTATTCGAAAATCGGACCACATGTCAGTCTCCAACATCCTGCCTGCAACTCACTAACTTCGAAAAAATGCTTCCATCTGAGCTACCAACAGGCGCGAGGCAAGTTCGCACTTCGACTTGGAAAACCAAGACATGCAGGCGTTTCCTTTTTTTGATTGATGTAAATCTGCTAACTCCACCGCGTTGAACACTGTTTTATTCTCCTGCAACATGCACACCATGAGCAACGTAGCACAAACGTAGAGGGAGAGCAAAAGCAACGGGTTGCAGAATTGGGATGTGTGTGCAGTTTGTGTGGAAACAGCAGTGCTGCAGGACGCTCAGAGTTGAAAAACAACTAACCGTGACGACAGCATTACCCATGCCCTCTAGTGTCGCCCCCAGAAGGCAAGTCACCAGACAGATCCCCGAAGGGGGGCTTTGTTGTAAAAGATAAATACTCTGTCTTATTGGGCCAATTGTATACGAAATTTGCCGATTTAGAGTTCCGATTCTTCGTCTTTTGCATCCAAACCCACATGAGGCCGCACGAGTTCTGCGTACTTCGTTGGAAAAGCACGAAAACCTGGTTTGGCACTCAGCACTCCTCGCAGAGACTCGTTCGCATTCAATCCTTCGAGACCGCGCAGTGCATTGCTGTGAGCCTCTTCTAGCCAAGTTTGGGGAGCTGGGGTGCAGTGTGTGTTCATCATGCTTGGTAAAATAGGAGTTCCAATTTGGGATTGCTGGATGATCCTGGTTGGAATTCCTCACGAATTCCCAATTGGAATTGGTTGAAATTCCAAACTGGGAATCGTGATTTGCTTTCATACCAAAGGCATACTATGTGCATACTGCACCCTAGCTGCTCAAACTTGGCTCCGAGAAGCTCACAGTAGTGGAGTGTACAGCCTATCGGTTAGATGACAAACAGGGGTCTGTGAGGCGAGGACGAACTGACGAATCGCCTCGGTGCGCTCTGCTTGCTATCTAGTACGGAGACCTCCTGCTGTTGGGGGGGGGTGGAGCGGTGTCTGTCGGTCCCCCGGATTCCCATCTTGGAATTTTTTCCATAACAACTGAGGTTTTGGTTACACTTTTATAGTAACTCTTTAGGTCTAACCGATGTTGAACGTAGCAAGGCTAGGTTCTTCACGCGAGCAAGGCTAGGTTGCTCACCCCAACCAACCCTAACCCTCACTCTCACCCTCACCCTCACCCACGGCCAACGCACGGCCTAGCGGCCACGAAATGGGCGAGCACGCGGCGCAGCCAGCACGTCTACAATCCCGCTGCCCTTAATTGGCGTAAAAAAGGAGCCCGCAGTCTACCGCGGGTGGATAATTTCACTCCTGTCCGGACGCCATTATCGTAACGTCACGGAGGCCGCACTCGTTGTCTCTCGCAACTTTTTTGTCCTCAATACACGCGGCAGGGAGAGAGCTCCTAACGAGAGCGTAGCCCTTGGAACGAGATGGACTGGACCTTCGGTACTCCTGAGTATAAGCATGCATGCAGATAGTACGTGTGCATGAAAGATTTCTATGTCCTTCAAAAAGAAGAAAAAAAATGAACTTGGACGGCGTACAGCGGATTTGTATGCAATGAGATGCGACGCCCAATGACGGCGTGCCCCCACACATATAGGAGACATCAAGCCCTTGATGGCAACAACCCTTGGGTAGATTTTCGGATACCTTGTGTCGATGCATTGCTGGTTTTCGTTGCAGTCGGCGGTATACTCGCAGAGCATATCTCCGGATGATGCCGTCATGCCGTCAGCACCCACAACAAACCCCGTGGGACCCGATCACCGACAGCAGTTCGTGACTTTCGGCGAAAAGCGTTCCTAGTGGAAGGTATGCCGTTTGTGTATGGTGCATGCGATGAAGGCAACTTCTGTGCAGCACTTTCGTGTCTCTTTTGTGCTCGTGGTGTGGAGAGGTGTGCGGGATCGATACAATGCCTTTGTTCCAAAACAGCAAATCAAAGGCCGATACGCGGCCTAACTCGCGGCCTAACGGCCTAACTGATGTGTGCATGTGTGCACTTGGTCTACGTCACGGTTCGGGGGAACTACAGTACACTCTATGGAGGCCAACGATTGGCCCGCCGCCACCCAATGGGGAAGCTTCGTGACTCTGATGACTGACGACGGATGACCGATCATGATGTGGGAACGAAGAAGTAGGGTGTTGAAGTGGAGGCTTGACGAGTGTGCTTCGAGTACCCTTCGCCATGCTCTCGAAGAGGGCGAAGATTATGCATGCAGGTTGTTATCCATAGCGAGCGATGACAGGCTGGTGAAATAAGGTAAAATAATTAGACGATACGACAACACCTTTATCGATAGCAACTTGCGGAATTTCTGCCAGCACGCCCTCCGCGTATAGTCTATATATATATATATATATACAGTAGGGGTCATTTGAACATGAAAGAAAAGCAAGTACAAACCATCAGAGAATGCGAAGGATTCTGGTAAAAGTCAATCGACGGATACCCTGTGAATCGGGTCCTCGGGTCCAAGAACACTCTGAGAAAAATGGCATCGATCGGTTTGACGATAAAACTTCGAAAATGTGAAAATCCGCGTCAGACAGCTTTTTGTCTCCGAGACATCGCCCGAGAGAGAACGAAACTACTGCTGTATTCCAAGCCCGTGTGGTGCAATAGTTTACCCATCGGAGTTATCGTTTTGTGTGTCGGGACAACCCGCGTTTCTCGAGGTTGAGACGGACGAACACCGACACAGACAGTCAGCAAACGTCAATCGCAGGAGATAGCAACGAAGCTCAAACTTGCTGAGGGTGTACAAAGTAGTGCAGGACAGCTCAGGTCGGCCAATCGGGGGATCTCTGTCCTCGGAGGTTTGGCAGAAACGGCGCGCGGTTTAGAGGGTTTACAAAGAAAGAGGGCAAAACACGCTTCGTCCTTTGGACTAGACAGCATCTCCACCCTTCCCTACTTTGCCTAGGAGCTCTTTACCTGTTTGGTTGCCTGCCAGGCATGCACCCTCGTTAGGAGTGTGGTGAGCGGTATCACCGAACCCCGTGCGATAATCGAATTAAATCACTTGATTCTGTTCGATATCACGGAACCGTGCGTTCTCTCGGATCCTCGCAGTATCTTTCCTCGTGTTCGTGAGGAAAATGGTGATGCCAACGTTGCAATGCAAGCGTGCGTTGTGCAAGAAGTGCGACTACATATAACCCCGTCCACATTGAAGCGTGAATCTTGAGCTGTGCCTCCCTCGCCTTTTCCCTTTCAAAGAGAAGGCACTTTCCCCCAAAAGCCTACAAAGATGAGAGGGCTTGGTGAAATGAGTAATCAAGTACTTGCTCGGGACAGGGCTGGATGTTGACGGAAGTCCGCCGAAACACCCGCGTACCCCGCCGCCAAGGAATCAAAGCTACGTCCAGCGCAGCAGCGTTTACAACCACGTGTGCACCGAAGACATCAAAACAAAAACTACGACCGAGGTGGGACCGGGGGAGAAGCCACCTACAGCCAAACCCGTGATATCAAAACTGCAAAACGCTCTATGCTTGCTTCCCGTAACCTGTCGCTTAGGTGTCGTTGGTGTCCGCGCGGGTCAAGAGAGGGCAAGCGCAAGAGCAGCCGTTAAATCTACAAAACTTAAATGGGCTCAATAGCAGCAGAAGAAAAAGGAAATGTGAGGGTGAAGTCGAAAGATACTTCTGCCAAGGGAAATGTACACCGCGTAGCATCTTACCTTCGGAATACGAGAGCCGGCAACAAGATCCACAACAAATATCCGACACCATCACCTCTCTCTTCCGAACGGAAAGACCCGATCATGACAACTACTAAACACACGCGCGAAGCAACGGGCACATTGATGCGCATTCTTTGTGCAAACAGGAGCAATAACGACAAGCCAAGTGGACTGTCACCGCCGCGCTCTTTTTAGTTGACTATCTTTTCCCCTCGAGGCATGCCTGTCCACCCATTTGCACACTCTCTTCGCCATCGACCAATCTCAGGCGTTGTTCTTCCAAGCCCGCTTGTGTATGGAGTCTCGCGGAATCTCATGAAAGCAACAACAAACTACCGCTGCAATAACGACAAGCGAAGTGAACTATCACCGCCACGATCTTTTTAGTTGACTATCTTTTCCCCCCGTGGCATGCCTGTCCACCCATCTGCACACTCACTTCGCCATCGATCAATCTCAGGCGTTGTTCTTCCAAGCCCGCTTGTGCGTGTATGGAGTCTCGCGGAATCTCATGAAAGCAACAACAAACTACCGCCGCAACTACCCCTAGGTGCGCAGCACCCGGCCACATACGCTTGCGTTGTTTGCTGAGTGCTACATGTGGCCGGCGCCTTGCCACAAACGATGAAAACACACTATCATGTCGAAGGTTTCTCATCATACGCGTTGGGTTGAAGAAAAACTGAGGTTGAGATTTCTTCTCTCCGTGTCTTGGCTCCTCTCCGAAACGAACGGATCATGTCGTTGCCATACCGTACTGGGGGTGCAACAAGCCAGATGCATTTTGACTCTCTTGTTTTTGATTCAAGACGGCAACGTGGCCGTCCTGTGCATCCCACCGCTGAGCTGCTCCTTCCCTCGACGGCCCTCCTACTAAACATTGCCGCGATGGCGGAAGAACCAACACGGCTGCGGTCCAATATATAGTATCGTCTTTCCCATACAGGGTATCACCCTCTCTCACACCATCAACGCCGTCCGCTGGCGTTCACCGTCGCGTCTACCGCATCTGCAAGCCCGCCACCGGCCACCATCGCTCTTATCCATTCATTCAACGAAAAAAAAGCACACAACAATCGGACCAAGACCTGCCCATCCCACAGCAGCGCACCCATGTAACCAAACACAATGGGAAAACTATACTTAAGCGTTACAAGAACTTGAGGTCCGCAAACTTGCTGAAAATCTCGTCTCGCTCTTTCTGGAGCTGCGGCAGAGGACGGGTGGGAACGGGGGAGGGGAGACAAGGTGTAACGTCGAACTGGATTATTCGTTACATTTTCAGCGCCCCTGCACGATTCGCCCACATAATACCCAATTTTTTTCACAGGCAATCCCCCTGGGGCAGAGAGATAGCTTGATTTGTCGCCAACGCAATACACGTAGAGGACACAGGGGGAACCTAACCATCCGGAGTATTGAGACACGTGTCACGTCACTGGGCCAATCAAAGCTTCAGGCCGGGTGCCACTTTGACGGCCTGATCATAAAATATCGGGATACTCTCCGACCGAACACGACAGAAGAGCTGGTTATATCATGTGGATCCGGGCCAAGACGCGGTGGAAGCATCGCAGCACAGGCTCTATTGTGTTCGCCCATCTACCAACCGATTGGCAAGCTTGATCATGGCGTACGTGGCCATATATACACAAAGTCAGCACAACATTGACGCCACCAAGAAAACGAACCACCTACCAATACGAAAATTTGTCAAGCCCGAAGAGGAAGCGCCTGCACGCACCTTCTCCTGAGCCTCCTTGCGAAACCGCCCCCCTGGTCGTGGACGCTGCTGCTTCGATGCGATCGTGGAGTATCGAGAAGGACGGTTGTAGGCATGGAGGTGGGCATCGCCATGAAATGGTTGTTTACGCCCGGACCCCATTTCCATATCACTATCACCCAAGCGGTGAGAAGACGAGACAGGTCCGCCTCGCCAAGGACGGCCATCGCCCGCTCCCGCCGCGCCCATTCCCACTGAGCAGTGTGCTGTCCTTGGCGTCGTTGCGGGCAGGTTGTTCGCGGGGAGGAGCGTGTACGAGTAGCGTGGGAGGCCCTGTTTTAGGAGGGGGATGGGCAGGCAGGAGTTGCAGTCGGGGTCAGTCAAAAAAGGTACCAAGAAAGGTAGGCATTTCTCAAGGTGTTAACTGGTTGTTCCTAAAATCCGACTCAACGGTTTTGAATACCCACCTCTGGACGCGGCAAGCTGTGAAGGTTCTTACCAACTACTTTCCGCTTCCATTGGAGAAAACGGCAGTTTTGGTTCACGATCCTGCATGCGGATCAACCACGTTCGATTCCAAAGTACAAGCGCAGGCTCTCAATACTCACCGCATCGGCATGGTTTTATGCGACGGCATACCGTGCGAGTTCAAAACAGGGTGCGGTAGACGATCTACATCGAACGTCCTATTTGGAATTTTTTGATCCAGAACGACAACTCGAGATAGCATTGGCAAACAATCAAACCCACTTGACAATGGAGTATTTCGGGGCGAAATAGAATCCTGTATGGCTATATTAGTTTCGTTTGATATCGCTGTCACCACTGCTGTAGATGCTTCAAAGGATACGCTCGGCTTCAGGAATAATAAGACGGACAGATATTTCCTGGGCAGACAAGATGCCCCAAACCTGAATGAAGCACACTCGGAGTCTTTGCTAATGTGTATGCGCAAGAGTTTCAAAGCTACAAACGTGCCGCGATCTTGGCGTGGACGCTAGGCGTTGGTTGAGTTAGCTGAGCCGAAAGTCACCTTATTATTGTAGTTGAGGACAACTCTCGTGCCAGGGGCGGCCGGAACTTCTTGCCCCGACTTCAGCAAAATTCCACCGATCAACACGACGCGGCAGTTACGCCCGATGTACTTGATGCGGCAGTGCCCTGTTCTCGCGCGACAAACACACGAAACCAACGTCAAACAACCGGCACAGGCAAGAGGGAGGAAGCTGAGAGGGAGAGAAAACCCGTGCTTCGGGCACGCTGTGCGGACAAGACTTCCAACAATCTCCTCGGACGCCACGGAGTAGAACACATCTTACGGGCGGCGCACCTTGTGCGAATCCTTCATCCCCCTCCTCCGGCGCGGTGATCTCCACGTGTCGACGACTGACGTGATGGTCCCTGATGCCCGACTTTTTGCATCTCCCCACCTGTGGAGGCAAGTCGATGAAATTAGGGCAGCCAGCACACAGCCGTTTTCCTCATCTGTTAAATCGCGAGATCATGAGTTTCAGAGATCACCGCGAGACCATGACTTTTACTGTAGACTACCACCCTTTCTTTCGCAAGAAAAAACAAAAACAATATATTCACACTGGTTGGGGACTTGCTGATGTACGTGCAGGCCGCGGTTGAACACCAGCCAGTCTCTTCAACGAAGCCCCCATGGGCACGAAACTTGCGATACATTCGGAAGCAGGACCGAGCTACTGAAGCATTGACAAAGTGCACACAAAGCGCAAAAAAACGACAGGTTCTTGACGCCAAGGGCGTGTGCGGCGAAATAGCTGCTGTTAAAAATCTCGTAAAGCAGAGCTGTCTTCTTGAGCTGTTCCGGTGAGGGGGGGAGTCCTCTAAGCTGCCGCCATCAACTTCTGCGACGAATTGCAATTTGTCGATAAATAATGAGGGAATTCCCGCCATATAGGGTGAATGTGTGTCTCCATCAACAAACGAAGTTGGGACCGATTTTTCTCCGAAATTCACCGCCGATGTTTCCTACAATCGAACGGGTACACAGTTTTTCCTAATAAAGGTCGAATTGCAATGCAGCAATTAAGCTTCGGTCCTCTCATCGGGCAAGACTGCCGTGATACTGCTTGTAGTGGGTAGCAACGTTGTGGTGACTCGTAGATCGACATTTCCGGGCCCGCTACCACTTGTGTCTCGAGGGAGAAGGAGCATGCGCTACGCGTGGAATTACCCAGGCGGTGACGGGGCAAACTCGCGCCAACGAGTCGGGGCGAGAGGGGTCGAGGCACAGAGAAATGAGCGACAATCACCCTAGCTCGACAAGCTATGTATCGGCTGCACGCTCGTGCGCCCAGAGCGAAGAATTGTCATAGAAAAACATTTCTTGTGCAGGGTTACCGAAGAATAATAATCCAACTTGAATAATCGCCCCGACACACAAAACATGGTGAGAGCGTGAGAGCACGCTAAGGTTCCGTCCATCGGCGAGAGGGAGGATTGTATTCTGAATATATACAAAAGAAAGATGCTGCCTCGATCCAAGTCGAGATCCTCCTTGCAGAGTCACCCCCGCATCGGTAGACGTGGGGCTACCAACTCCGGCTCGATTTGGACGGACACGTCCACGAACGAGCAGGGGATGCCATCTGAAAAAGCACAAGCGGCTGGTATTGCTCGCCTGTGGGTGGACGAGCACACACAACACTGCTGTACAACGCCGGAGAACATTGCATGCATGCATAGAAACGTTTCTACAGAAACATACCCACGCCAGCCCCTTTCCGTGGCGCGAGCGCAGCAAGTCCCGAAAAGGAAGCCGTGCTAAACAGCCAAACTACACAGGCACCGGGCGCGGATCCACCAAAAACTATGACAGACGAGGGAGTGAGACGCATGCCAATAGGCCGCCCAGAAGCCGGACACTTTCATTACGCACATACCATATGCACGAACAGCAGCGTTCAACACATCGTGTGCAAATGTATGCGTAAGAGCAAATCCAGCATAACCAGAGCTTGAAGCTGTTCTCCACTCAGCGGACCGACATAAAAAAAAATCCCAGTCCCCCGTCTCCCAAGAAAGGCGCTATACGTACTATGACAAATCACGATGCATACACACGCTAGTCCTGTGTCCTATGCACCTCTACGCCCCCCGCCCCCATCTCCGGTGGAACCATCACTTACGACTGTTGTTGTCCCTGGCTCCAACGGGATGAACCGGCGGCTCGTCTCGGCCCGGTCTGGTAGCAAAATCAATCTTCCAATGCTGCCGTCTTGTTGCTGCCGCCGCCATCGCAGCGCTGCGGGGCAGGGAGTGCCGGCTCGCCGGATGGGGGAATCCCGCTCCTGCTCCTGCTTTTGCTGTTCTTGCCGTTGTTCTTGCTGCTGGGCGAGAGCTGCTCCTTGTTCCTGTGATGATGTGGTATGTGCTGCTATGACACTGCCTTGCTGCTCCAAGTCCATGGATTGAAGGAGTGCCATGGCCTGGAGCTGTTCCTCCTAGACTTATAGCGTCTGGTATGGCGCGCCACGTGAGTCAGCTTTCCGTTTCGGTCGAACCCTCTGGCAAGCCAGCCGTAACGTGTGTGCGTGGGATAGCTAGATCTGGGCACGGGTACATATGTCGAAGAAGGAATTGGCTTGAGCGTTGAGAAAGGTTGAAAATGCGGCCCGATTTTTTATGCAACTCAACAAGTCAACAAGCAGGTTCGTTGAAAAAGAAAAAAAAACATGTCCGGAAAAAGAAAAAAAAAAGGGCTAACTTACCCGCGCCGAGCCCCCGTTTTGTTCGGGCCCGGCCGATTGCCCACAGTAGAGACTGCATGTCAAGCGAGGACTATGAGGATCGAAAGGAGCATGGATACTGTAGGCTAGATAACTCTTTATCGATGTAAAACACGCTTCGCACTCTGGTCGATTTTGTTCTGAAGAGAACCAAAAGTTAAAGTTTGACCTTGTTGCCCCCCTTATGAGATGTATGGCCGTTTCACCATTTTTTATCGCGCGCGGCCTCAGTTCGACTTTGGCACCCTTTGTATGCGGATGATGACAAGATATGTGCCGAAACAGTACAACAGTGTCGTGTATGAGACTCTGTTCGTGACTGCGGCGCTTTCATCAGGCTCTTGCTGGGTGTTATGAGGTACGCTACGAGTGCTGACTGCTGTACGCCAACCCATCTCGACACACAGAGTCAACATCTCGCTTGGTGGTCGATTTGCTCGGTGTGGACATTGGTGAGTGTATGCCGCCCGTGGGCCACACACAACTGGGCTCTTGCCAGGACTCCAGCACAGCAGTACCTTCTTCCTCGACACAGTGCATGATCCTTGAAAAATGTAATCGTACCACTGCAGCCTGTCAGCCTCTCGGCAACGGACAAGCAGAGCCATTCTGCTCGTCACATCTGTCACACTCGGTACTGCTGTAGTCGGGCGGTCTGTAGTCTACTCGGCTGTAGACGAGACTATGTAGTCTACACGAACATTATTGTGTCACGTGCACACACATGCATGGCAGCCGCCGCGCCCTCATTGACTACCACAGTTGCTTGTGCTGCATTCCAAAAAGATCTGCTACTCAAATTATTATTCTAGGCCTACCACGTGCATATGCTTTGGACACACGAACATGCATGTCAGCAACGTCGTTTTAGGTTGGCCACAATCATATGCGTACCACACCATCGCCGCAATTTCGCAGGTAATCCTGCAAGTGTACGTGAAGTACTACAGCAGTGTAGGCCAGTGCTGTTGCCTCGAGGGATCACAAAGCCAACCCTAGTACTACTTCAGACACAGTGTGATTTCCAACTCCAATTCCATCCCAATAGCATTCCCCTCAGATTCTATTTCGCACCGACGATGGTACAGCAGTAGACTACAGTCGTGGGCCCGGTTTAGCGGTTCCCTGTTTAGCGGGATGCCCTGAACAGCGGGTACAAACTATCGTGACACAGCTGCACCCTGGTTTAGCGGTGAAACAGGTTGTGCCGCCAATATTTATTGGACATGTTTTCAGCCACCAATAATAGCGGTTATCGGTTCAAACTTTGCAGAGACCCAGGGCGCGCTTCGCTCTCTTGGACACTCACACACACAGCAGTGACATTGGTCAGCTGCTTAGCATGGTCGATGCCCGTATTAAAAGCACACAACACTCACACAACATGCTGAGTCCAAGCGGCGCGCACGATCGTAAAGGTGGCTGTGGTGGCCGCATGCACGGCATGTATGGAGAGGTGGGGGATCTGGACGGCAACGAGATCCATTTGCATTTAGTGTGCAACCAAGAAGGCCCAGAGTTCCCCTCGCGTTTCAAATCCACCCAGCCAAACGAAAAGAGGCGGACGATCGCTCTCTAGCAATAATAAGTGCGGAAAACAACTCGCGCTGCAACTACACGACAGCCTCGCACTAGGCCTAGCTTTGGCCGGAAGCTTGAGGTTTTGAATATTCTTGACCAAGGTGTAGCGCACTCATAGAAAAGTGCGCAGGAAGCGTCGAAGTTTTGCAGAAGGATCGAATAACGAGCTCGTTGAGAAGTTGTCCAGTATGTACATGGAGGGGCCTAACCCCTCCGACGACGAGTTAGAGCTAGGGCTAGAGCGAGATTGCCCGGCAGAAGTTGACGGCGCGAAGTGCACGGGGGTGATGGCGCAGCGCCATACTCGGAGCTATCGTCGGACTTTGGCCAGCTTGAAGAGTGCGTGGAGTTGTGTGGCGTGAGCGAGGCAATAGACAACCTTCGCAAGGCGAAAATGGCGTTCCTCGCAGCGAATATCAAAGAGATGATGTTGGGTTTGGCATGGTCAATACACGCGACAAATATGTATTACAAATGAGTTGCTTAAGCACGTGGTTGGCTGCCGTTGCCTTGTGACGAACTTGCCCCACGTTCGTTAGAGACGCCAACGATTTTCCAGTCTTCATGAAGGGCATACAGTTCATCAGGGAGCACAAGCTTCGCTCTTTCGTGAATTGAAATGCACTCATGTACATGCTCTGTCGTCCTCCTGAGGGTCGTTACTTCTTCACCTGCACCTTCATATGATTGCTGCAATGAGACACATGCAGGCACTATCAAGATGAACTTTCGACGCTGCTCTTGTTGGGCAATAGTGGGCTTTTTCCCGGTTTTGCGGTTCATCACCGTTATTGAGCCTCCCGCTTTAGCGGTTCTAATCGCTGAAGAGGTTTAGCGGCGGTGCCCTGAATAGCGGTAGTAAATTTTCGTGACACTATGGACCGCGAAACCGTGCCCACGACCGTATGTACAATGTACATCGTACTCCATACGGTGTGAGTTGATTTCACCTGCAAACCCAAGGTACTTTCGCACTTGCTGTACTTGGCTGGTACTCGACAGGTCGTGAAGTATCCGCCGACCCTTCCACAAACAGCGGTGGGGGCCAGAGAGCACACTCGGTAGCGTAATATCGTCCGAGGCCGCAGCGACGATGGCAGACCTGTCAGGAAGAGAAGGGGATGGCCAAGAGGGCGGCGGCGGCACCCTGGCCACGGTTCCTCTGGGGAAAGATGGTCTGCCGCTCCTCTCGCACGAGGGAGAGGAGGAGGAGGAGGAATCGGACGAGGACGATCTGTGGGACGTTGACGGGGACATGACGGCGGAACAGGTCACAGCCGCGCTCGCGGAGGAGAAACGGAGAAAGAAGGTGCATTGTGACGACACACAGCTACAAATGTTTTTCCCTGTGATATTGACGCAACGGCAAAGATCCAACCGTGAACGACGTATGACACTGCCGTAGCCTAGGTGGTAACCTCGAAGATGATGACGTGACCAGGTTAGAAGTTCGAATTTCGGCGACGTGTGTTTGTTCCACCTTGTGTACATGGTAGTGGAAAGCGCTTGTTGGTGGGTACGTTTTTTAAGGGAGAGGACGGCTGAACCCTTCACGAACCGTAGAGAAACTCTGCCGTGCTACCCCAGATTGGAGCTCTTGGGGAGACAAGGGCACCCATAGGACGCCACATTAGAACAAGTACTTGGGATGGTATTCCCACAGATACCCAGGCCCCAGCAAGTCTCGATTCGCAAGGTCTTGTCGCCTCAAGCGTACTACATATCAAGTCCTCCTTGAAGTAACGCCGATCGAAGGATGGTAAACGACGAAGAAAAACCTGTTGTGGTCCATAGTTTCGTAGTTTTTCGGACTTAAACATAGATGCTGTCTCCGCATGGTGTTGTTGTTGTTGTTGTTGTTGTTGTTGTTGTTGTTGTTGTTGTTGTTGTTGTTGTTGTTGTTTCTCACATTAGCTCTATAGTCCGCAAAAGTGGGGAGCCCGTGGTCGCAAAAACCCGGCACATACGACGCCGCAGGGAAACAAAACAACAATACGGTACAAACCACTCGGAAAAAGCAAAACAAAATGATACCTTGATAGAAAGAAAAAAACAGCTACCGCACCGACCGGTCGAGAACAGAGCCCTCGGAAACCGATCAAAATAAAAAAAATAATAGATAAAACTAAAAAGGAGGACGCTTCCCACACCCGCCTAAAAATATCAAAGGCTAACGTACCAGCACCAGGCACTACGCACCAGGGCATGGGAGTCATGGAGGCAACAGAACAAAGCGGCAGTAGATGGACAGACAGCCAGATGTATAAAAGCAAAACCAACAGCAAAAGGGAGATCAAGGTACCCAACAGGCAGAGTAGGCAGGGAGGACATGAAAAAAGAAGCAAAGCACAGGGTCCGAAGGCAATACAAAGGACATACAGGAGTATAGCATACAGCAGGGTGGGGAACAGGGCGCAACAACATCAGCCGGGTACATAGTTCGCCACAAGTGCTGCCTCGGCCGCCCTACTCACTTCTACAGCAGTGCCCGGTCGCCGTTTGTTCCCCCCTACCGCCGCTTCCCCGACTCTCTTTCTCTTCGGTCCAGAGATGGCCGTACTCTCTGCTTCTGCTTCCCTCGCGCGCTGGCGCTTCGCGGACGCTTCCGCCTCCTGTCTGTGCCATTTCCTCATGAACCATGCCGCCCCGTCCTCGACCTTGTTGTACCACACCTCCGGGTCCTTGGCGCTCTCTTTCCATTTCCCCCCTTCCTTTTCGTCTCCCATGTTGAAGGCCACGAGGTCCTCTCCTAGACGAGACACTCAGTCGCTNGTTCCCCCCTACCGCCGCTTCCCCGACTCTCTTTCTCTTCGGTCCAGAGATGGCCGTACTCTCTGCTTCTGCTTCCCTCGCGCGCTGGCGCTTCGCGGACGCTTCCGCCTCCTGCCTGTGCCATTTCCTCATGAACCATGCCGCCCCGTCCTCGACCTTGTTGTACCACACCTCCGGGTCCTTGGCGCTCTCTTTCCATTTCCCCCCTTCCTTTTCGTCTCCCATGTTGAAGGCCACGAGGTCCTCTCCTAGACGAGACACCCAGTCGCTCTCCTGCCCGCCCCGGTATCCCACGCCCCCCGCCATCGCTCCCAGCGGCATGCGCTTGGGGAGGCGGTTGTCCTCTATGCGCATAACAAAGCCCGCGAAACACAGTCTCCGTTTGCGCACGGTGGCCTCGATGGTTTCCTCGCAGCCTGGCCTGGATGGAACCTGGGCATAGGACAGGGGGCGGTCTGAGCGTTTCCGCTTGCTCCAGCCGATGCACCGTGTGAGGAACTGGCGGTGGGTCCCATTGAGCTTCGTGTAGTGCTCCGCTGTTAGGCTCCACGAGGCGCACCCGTATAGGAGACTCTCCACCACTTCAGCCTGGAGTAGCCGGATCTTGAGCTGGCGGTCGGCCCGTCGCCTGTCGTACATCGAAGCACTGTTCCGGCGGTAGCACTTCCACGCTCGGCAGCTGCGGCTCGTGATCTCCCGGTCGGCCTTCCCGTCCGCGGAGATGGTACGTCCGAGGTACACAAACCGATCTGTCTGCTTGTACGTCTGGCCGGCGGCGCTGACCGTGACCGGGCGTCTCTCGATCCATTTCGGCAGCATGCACACCATCTCCGTCTTTGGCTCCGATACCATCAGTCCGAACAGGCCGGCCACGCGCACGATGACCGACATCATCTTCTCGAGACTCTCCGGCGAGCGCGAGACGATGTCCGAGTCATGGCCCACAGGGCCTCCGCGCCCATCACCACTGTCGTATTCCCCGCCGACCTGCCCTTCTTGCCCGTGTACTCCACTTGTGTCCCGATCTTGACCATGTCCGCCGTCACCTTGGGGTCCTTGTCGAACTCGGCCACGGCAACCATGAGCATCGCGGCAAAGAACAAGTTGAACAGCAGCGGGGCAAGGTTGCATCCCTGTCGGAGGCCTTGGCCCACGTCGAACCATTCCGAGTACTGCCCGTCGTCCGTTCGGACGCGCGCCCCCATGCCCTCGCGGAAGTGGCGAATGACCGCCAGCATCTTCGGGGACACGCCGAAGCATCAGAGCACGTCCCACAGTAGGTCTCGGTCCACCAAATCGTGCGCCTTGGTGAGGTCGACCAAGCACGCGAACACCAAAGTACGCTTCGTCCTCGCGAGCTCATGGAGCCGCTAGATCGCGAACAGCATGTCGAGCGTCGACCGGTGTGAGCGGAAATCGCTCTGCTCCTCCGGGAGGATGCCCTCTCGCTCGCAGTTGTGGCTCAGTCGT